CTTGTGCAGTACGTCGGGCATGGGGCTAGTGCTTGGAGGGCGCAGTCCAGTGGTCCTCTCTGGGCACGCAGACGCTTCTTGGGCTGACGACCAGGCTACGCAGCGGTCGTCACAGGGTTACACCTTCAGCCTTGGTTCCGGCTCTGTCTCGTGGCGGGCTACCCGCTCGTCTTCTGTTCTCGGCTCCAGTTGTGAGGCTGAGATCTACGCTGGGGCTATGGCTGCACAGGAGTTACGCTGGCTCACCTACCTGCTGACCGACCTTGGAGAGCAGCCTCGTTCTCCTCCAGTCCTGTACGTAGACAACAAGGCCATGCTGGCCTTGTGTCGAGAGCAGCGACTGGAGCACAGAACGAAGCACATTGCTCTTCGCTACTTTCTTGCTCGTGAGCTACAGCAGCGTGGACAGCTGCGACTTGCGTACGTGGCCTCTGAGGCCAACACTGCTGATGTCTTCACCAAGGCACTTGCGCCTTGTGATCATCAGCGTTGCTGCACGCAGTTGGGTCTTGTGCCTGTCTTGCCTCACTTGCTCTCCTCTTGACCTTGCTTGTACTTTCGCATATATATACTCTTGCTCTTGTATATCTCTATATATGATCTTGCATGTGAACTGGCCTTGTGGCCTTTGAACTTGTGCTCGGAATGCGTGGTGACTTTGTGATCCACCCTGAGCTTTGCTTTGCTTTGCTTGACTGGTCTTGTGACCCCTTGTTCTCCCCTACAAGTAGGAAAACCTAAAAGTGTTGTACCCCATATTGTCTACCCCACTACAGCCTACACAGACTATAGCATATAAGTTTGACACACCCCCATAGGCAAAGTGGGGGAGAACAAGAGGTCACAAGACCACTCAAGCAAAGCAAGCTCAGGGTGGATCACAACGTCACCACGCAATCCGAGCACAAGTGCAAGGCCACAAGGCCAGTTCACATGCAGGATCATATATAAAGGTAAACAAGCAAAGGCGCGTTTAGTAAGATCACACAATAAGCAAGGTCAAGAAGTGAGCAAGTGAGGCCAAGTAGGCACAAGACCTAGCAACGTACAGAAGCGCTGATGATCACAAGGCGGAAGTGCCTTGGTAAAGATATCAGCAGTGTTGGCCTCAGAGGCCACACAAGCAAGGCGCAGCTCACCACGCTGCTGCAGCTCACGAGCAAGGAATTAGCGAAGAGCAATGTGCTTCGTTCTGTGCTCCAGTCTGTGCTTCCGACACAAGGCCAGCATGGCCTTGTTGTCTACGTACAGAACTGGAGGAGAACGAGGCGGCGCTCCTATGTCAATCACCAGGTAGGTGAGCCAGCGTAGCTCCTGTGCAGCCATGGCCCCCGCGTAGATCTCGGCCTCACAGGTGGAGCCGAGAACAGAGAGGAGTGGGTAGACCGCCACGAAACAGAGCCAGAACCAAGGCTGAAGGTGTAACCCTGTGACGACCGCTGCGTAGCCTGGTCGTCAGCCCAAGAAGCGTCTGCGTGACATGTGAGGACCAGTGGACTCTGCCCTCCAAGCACTAGCCCCATGCCTGACGTACGGCACAAGTAGCGCAACACCCTCTTCGTTGCAGCCATGTGCTCAGGTCGGTGTCTCCTAGGAGCAACATAGCGTGCCAAGATGCTAAGAGGGTATGCAAGGTCAGGTCGTGTGCAGGTCATCAGGTATATGAGGCAGCCAATCAGCTCTTCGGACTCATCCAAAGGCAGAGCTGAGAGCGAGTGGCGAGTAGACAGAGGAGTGGCCTGCTGCGAGGAGTACGTGAAGTCGAAGCGCTGAAGGACCTGCTACACCATGTGTGACTGAGTTAGGGTAATGGTGCGCTGTGCTCTGTCCCGGGTGATCTGCAAGCCAAGGTAGCTGCGCAGTTCACCCAGGTCTGTGCACGTGTGTCTCTTCTGCAGCTCGGACTTCACGTGGGCGAGTCCAGCAGTGTCAGCAGTGGCAAAGACCAAGTCGTCGACGTACACGAGGATGTAGAATGGCGGCAAAGAGGTGTCGGTGCGCAGAAACGGCAACGGGTCGGCAGTAGAAGGAGCAAACCCAAGAGCCGCAAGTGTAGTCCTCACTGTGTCGTGCCACTCACGGGGCGCCTGGCGGAGACCGTAGACTGGCCGCCGGAGGCTCCACTGGGTACCAGGAGGGAACGACCCAGTGAAGCCAGGTGGGCGGCGCAGCCAGATCTCCTCGTGCAGGCTGCCCTACAGGAAAGCTGTGGTGAAGTCAAGAGAGTGAAGCTCGTAGTCGCGCTGAGCGGCTATGTGCAGCAGCACCCGAAGAGTGGTCATCTTCGGGGTGGGAGAGAAGGTATGAAAGTAGTCAATTCCATGCCGCTGACTGAAGCCTCGAGCCACGTAACGCGCCTTGAAGACAGGCGGAGAACCCGGCGGCCGCTTCACCATTAAAATCCACATGCCACTGACGATGTTCGCCTCAGGTGGGGGAACCTTGTCGACGTAGGTGCCTGTGGACTTCCAGGAAGCCATCTCTGCATCCATGGCTGACTGCCACTGTGAGAAGTAGGGACCCTCGATCGCCTCAGCGTACGATCGAGGAGTCGGGATGTCTGGTGCATCCGGGTCTCCCTCAGGGGCAATCAGCGTGGACACGAGATGAGGCAAAGCAGCAGCAAAACACTAGAACTCCTCCTGTCTGTCCTCAAGGACGTCCGTGCTAAGAGCACACTCACCCCCAACGGACAGAGGACAGACGGACTTAGACTCTGCAATGAGACTTGCTTTGTAGTCTAGACGACAGCGAGCAACAAAGTCGACAAGCTCAGCAACTAAGGCAGACGCAGCAGTGAACTCAAAGGAAGGGTTAGTGACAACAGTAGCCAGGAGACGACTGACAGTAGGACTGGAAGCAGGTCGAGAGTCAGACTCTGGGTCAGCAGGAACAGGAAGAGAGGACTCTGGAGGAGACAGTAACGGGACACGCAGAGGAGCAGTGGAAGGATGCAGTGCCATCTGGTGTGTGCCTGTGACCGCAGGAGGACGCGGACGCGGAGGACGACTACTAGTGCGAGCAGCACGAACAGGCGACGCAGGACGAGACGCAGGCTCACGACGCTCAGCAAGACCTCCAGTAGGAACAGTGTAGGGAGAAGGAGCAGGTAGGGGGGAGGCGGGCTGTAACTGTGACTATGACTGGACAGGCTGTGGACACTCTAAGGGAGGTGCAGGACCAATAGAAGGCGGGAGACCAAGAACCTGCTCAAGGAGCGGAACGAAATACGGCCGCGGCCGCATAGCGCCTCCAGAACCAGCAGGGACAGCACCAGTACCCCAAGCGGCAGCACCAACGCCAGCAGTACCTCCAGCTCCAACAGCACCAACTCCATCACCCTCGAAAGCACCAGCGCCAATAGCACCACCAGCGCCAACACCCGCAGCAACTCCAGCTCCAGTAACTCCAGCAGCTCCAGCTCCAGCAGAACCGTCTGCTCCACTACCGCTAGTAGCGCCAGCAGTACCTTCAGCAGCACGAGCTCCAGCAGCCCTAGCAATACCAGTACCGCCAATACGAGCACCTCGAGGACCAGTAGCAATAGTAGTACTTGCAGCTCCAGCAGCACGGCACCAGCGCCGGGCAAACCACTCGCACAGCTCCTACGGAGAGTTTAGCTCCCGCCTCGACGAAGCACCGCCGGCGGCCACACGAGCCGACCTAGCACCCCTAGGCTCCGCACCTCCAGGCTCAGCACCCCCTCACTCAGCACCCCCAGGCTCAGCACCCCTATGCCCGGCACCCACAGGCTCAGCTTCCCTCGTAGTACCAGAGTCAACAGCTACCTCAACAGGCTCGACTGCGTCTACCTGGGACACACCTGACGGGGCAGGACCTTGAGGGGGGAGGGGGTCTACCGGGGGAGGGCCTGGCGCAAGGAAGAGCGGCGGCGGGGGGGGGGGGGCGCAATGCGGTAGGGGAAGAGACGGTAGTAACGCACCAACTCGTCAAAGGTGACGTCCTGGGAGGACATAACACAACGCGAGGTGGGGTTGTAAAACTGCCAACCAGGCGCGTCAGGGGGGAATCCAAGGAAGACGCAAGGAACAGCATGGGGGGACAGCTTGTCCGCAGACATGTCGCGGACAAACGCCCGAGATCCCCAGACCCAAAACGCAGACGCATCGCCAACCTTCCCCATCCACCGCAAGGTGGGGGAGGTCTCTGGCAAGGAGACCCCAGGCTGAAGGTTGAGCTGATGCGCTACATACTGAACCGCAAACGGCCACAGAAAATAGGGAGCAGCCGCATGGATCATGGACGGAAGAGCGACGTCCATGACCATGCCAATGCGGCGCTCAGCAATCCCATTTCCCTGTGGAGAGGCCGGAAGCGTGAAGGTCTGGCGGATGCCCTGTGCACGACAGAAGGCTCCGAGACGGGCAGACGAAGAACAGGAAAGTCTGAGCCGAAACTCTCTTTGAGTTGGAGACGACCTGCTGCGCAAGGGGAAGACCGTGGTGTAACGCGAGTACTTGTCAACCACCAACAGGAAGTAACGCTCATGACCCTGGCCACGGACGTGGGCGGGGCCCAACACGTCCATGTGAAGAGTCTGAAGCGGAGCCTCTGTCGGAGAAAACTCGGAGGAGTGAGGGGCGGCGCCCTGCCGCCTCTCGAAGTAGGGAACGCAGGAAGGGACAGGCCCCGGAGGGAGGGGAGGGAGGGACAGGGGGAGACTAGAGACAAGGACACGGGAGGCCATGCCCCGAAGACGAGGCAGGGAGGGGTGAACAAGGCGGTGGTGCCAAAGGAGAGTCTGGTGGGACAGGAGACGACAGGAGTAGGGAGCAGACTCAGGACCAGACCTGGACGCTGCAGCAAGCACCTGACTCGACACAGCTACCTGACCAGACTGAGCAGCCGGAGGAGACTCAGTAGTCAGTGTGTACAGGCTCGACCCCGGCCGACGGGTAAACGTGGCCAAGTGTCGGCCCGTCCGAGCACACGTACAGTGGGTCACCCGCTGACTCGCTGGAGTGAACTGTTCAACCCCCCTATCCTGTAGATCAGCACCACTCACCAAGTTCGTAGAGAACGAGGGGAGGTAGAGACCTGACAGGGTGCCAGAGGGGGCTGCCGGACACGGTAAGACAGTGGAGAAGCTAGCAAGGACGGGACCCCTAGAGGGGTCCGCGAGGGAGACCGCAACCGGCTGACTAAGCGGCGTAAGCGTGGTGCGGTCTCGAAAGAAGGAGCGGGAAGCACCTGAGTCAAGGGTGAAGGTGTGTAAGGCCTGAGCCGACGTGGTACCTGATAGTGGAGACTCACCAGCACCTGGGGCAGCAGACGCACCAGCACCTAGAGCAGCAGCCTCAATGCCCGGGTCAGGCGGAACACACAGGTAATAGTCACCCTCATCACTAGCAGACACAACATACATGGCAGCAAGAATAGCATCATAGTCAAGATCAAAGATGGCAACCCCTGCCCTAGACAGCTCTCCCCAGCGAGCGATTTAAGTGGAGTCAGGGAACTGGTGACGCCAAGCGTCCGTCAGGCGGCTGAAGCAGCGCTGTGTAGAGTGCGAGCCCCCGCACTGCTCACCAGCGCGATCGCCGGTACGGAGGACGTAGGTGCAGGGACCAGTACCCCCACCTCGCTGACGCCCAGCGTACCACTCACGAAGCTGCGGGGGGAAAAGGTCTCACGAGTGCGCTGCTGCTGTTGGCGTGGACCACCACCAGAACCACTCCTCTGCGCAGAGCCGCGACCAGCCCCACCGCTGCCGTCGCCGCCGCCTCCGCCACCTCCGCCACCTCCGCCGCCTCCGCTCCCCCCGCCACCGCTGCCGCCTCCTCCGCCTCCACTGCTGCCACCAACACCTCCACCCCCGCCACCACTCCCACCACCACCCCCACCCCCTCCACTACCTCCACCACCACCGCCACCGCCCCCGCCAGCCCCTCCAGCGCCCTTGCCCCCCTTGCCCTTGCCGGTGCGGCGTCTCCCACTAGGGGCAGACGCAGCGTCGACCGACTCGAAGCCAACGAGGTCCGCCGCAGCAGTAGAGGCAACAGAGGGCAAGAGGGGGGAGGGGGAACACCCCTCAAAGACGGGGGTGCGAGGGTCACCACGAGAGGCTCCTATAGCGACTATGCTCTTCTCTGCTGCTAGGAGGCGCTCCTCGAGGAGGTCAACGGTGACTCTGTCAAGATTCTAGCGAGGCTTGGGAGCCATGGCTAGTGAGATCGAGAAAGTTAAGTTCGAGGGTGAGGAGAAAGTCGAGAGAGTTGAGAAGGAGAATGAGGGTTTCACTATAGAAAGTTGTACAAGATATAGTGAAGGAAAAGGGTGCACCACCTAACATGAAAGCAATATAACTACACTAGGTCTACACAACAGGCAGTTATAGTAATGTATACAATTACATTCTCACAGACTGTGGTGAGGCAAACTGAGAGGAAGTGGTCCTTGACTAAGCGAAGGGAGTCAGGGAGCCGGGTGACTATGTAGTAGAGGGTGATGTACATGGGGGGGGGGTTCTTGGCACAGAAGTCAGTAGGAACCGCAGCGCGGTAGCGAGTGTCACTAGTGCGAAGGTGCGTAATGAGGTCAGCGACTGTGGGAAAGGCAACAAGGTCAGGGAACAGGTACGGCAGCATGAGGCGTTAAGAGCAGCAGTGGGAGGGGAAGAGTAGCGTGCAACTACAGCGTCGTACAAGGTCTTAGCACTCTTGTACTGACTTTGCGCACGCTCAGTGGTTGGTAAGTGGCGACGCACATCAAGACGGGCAGCAGCATCGCGTGTGGCCCACTGTGAGGAAACAGTGCTGTCAGGATCAGTAGGCGGGGCAGGAGAGACACCAGAGGTGAGATCGAACTGAGAGAGTCCGTCTGCCCTATCGCACTTTAGGAACAGCGGGAGGTCATCGACCCAGACCTCAAAGTCAACAGCACGACCCTCAACATCAAAGGTAAGGACACTGGGGGTAGCCATGACTGCAGTGGTCTATCAAGGAGTTATCTCACCAGTCCGAGTAAGTAGGGCCGGGGCGCGCCGGTAGGAAAAGTAGCGGCTCGACTGCAGGGCGGCTCGGCGGCTCGGCAGCTGGGCGGCTCGGCGGCTCGGCTGCTGGGCGGCTCGGCGGCTTGGTTGCTGGGCGGCTCGGCTGCTCGATTGCTGGGCGGCGTGGCTGCTCGGCGGCTCGGCTGCTGGGCGGCTCGGCGGCTCGGCTGTTGGGCGTTTTGGCTGCTGAGCGGCTTGGCGGCTCGGCTGCTCAGCTGCTGGGCGGCTCAGCGGTGAAGGGGCCAGTAGAGGCGGGGACGGGGCCGATAGAGGCGATGACGGGGCCGGTAGAGGCGGCGATGGGGCCGCGAAGGGCGGCGACGGTGTCGGTAGAGGCGGCGACGAGGCCGCGAAGGCGTCGACGGGGCCGCTAGAGGCAGGGACGGGGCCGCGAAGAGCGGCGAGGTGGCTGCGAAGGGCGGCGAGGTGGCTGCGAAGGGCGGCGACGGGGCCTCAAGGGGCGGCGACGGGGCCGTTAGGGGCGGCGACGGGGTCGCAGAGAGCGGCGTCGGGGCCGCGAAGGGGCCGTGAGGGGGCCTAGAGCGGCGGCGACGGGGCCGTGAGGGGCCTAGAGAGGTGGCGACGGGGCCGCAAAGGACGGCGACGAGGCCGCTAAGGGTGGCGCGAGGGGCCGTGAGAGGGGCCGCTAAGGGAGCGCGACATGAGGGCGGCCGACGGGGCGCGCCTCGGGTAGGAAAAATCGAGTTGGGTGGTGGGCCCTGAGAAGCGTTCCCTCGAGGGAACTTTCTGTGATACCATGTGAAGAATGAGGAATAAATGAACTAGCAAGCAAGTGGGTACAAGTAGGAAAACCTAGAAGTGTTGTACCCTACTACAGCCTACACAAATTATAGCATATAAGTTTGACATTTGTTCTTGCATTTTGTATGCTTCATTTTCATTCGTAATTGCATTTTGTACTTGTGAATTTTCAGTTTCGTTTTCACTATTCTCATGAGGCTCTCATGACGCGCTCAAATGAAGCTCTCATGATGCGCTCAGATGAAGCTCTCATGTTGCGCTCAAATGAAGCTCTCATGAAGCGCTCAAATGAGCCTTCCATGAAGTGCTCAACTGAAGACCCCATGAAGCTCAAATGAAGCTCGCATGAGACTGTTTCATCCGAGGTTCATGCGAGCGACCCATGAAAGTCTCATGAAATTCGAATGTTTCATGCGAGGCTCATTAGGGTTCCATCCGAGCGAGCGGTGTACCAGGGGGTTCGATTGTTTGACTATCGAGGAAGTGCCGTTTGACTCCTCTGGCGCGAGTCAAAGGGTACGAAATCAGGACCGCATGTGGGGTCCTTGCACGTGCGTGAGGCCCAACAAGGCATGCGCGTGTTCCACACACTGTTGTGAGCGTGCTGTAAAGCACGATCGCAACAAGACAGGGAACGTTTCTGCCCTGTCCAGACCTGTACACGCACATGATCGCAATCATGCGCGTTGTACAGAACGACCGAGAAATATCTCGGTCGTTGCGTGTGGCAGATGGGGGCGCGTGGGATCTCGGTTGAAAAACAGAATCCCGCACTGACTCATGGAACAAGAAATTGCGCGCGAATGAATCGCCGCATAAAAGAATTTATTTTCCGCAGGGAAAACCGTTTGTTCATTTATTTATTTACAATTCGTTTGTTCACGTCATCAAACAGTTAAAACCGTTTTACTACTGCAAACCTGCATGAACTTTATGTGAGGCTTATGGGAGCCATATGGGAGCCACATGAAACCGCAAATGTTCATGTGAGGAGTCAGCAATGGAATTGCCTTGTGTAACAAGAGAAGAAAAAAGGCAACATCCTAAGAATTTATGCAACCGATTTCTATTATAGCGTGGCAAAAATCAAGACCTTGTTGTACAACTACTTTTATGCCTGCCTTTGTGTGTGCGTAGTATTTTATATAAATATGTGCCTGTAATTGTTTATGGATACAACAACTATTTTTCATTTCGCCTTTTCAAGTTCAATTTCTTCCACTACGTATTGACGAGAGTAGAATCGCTACCGTGGTGCTGCCGAAACTCTGCTCGACCAGCTTACTTCGCTTACAAGCTGAGAAAGGCATAACTACTTGCTTGCAATTTTTCTACGCCCTACGCTATGAGGTGACAAGTTGTCACGCTCGAAGAGGTGCAAGTGATGTTAAGTGTTGCCGAGTACGAGTTTGTAATACCAGTTTAAGCGCTTCTGCATAAAGTTATAGCTGTTAACACGTGGTATCAGAGCTGGTACTTAGTCGTTTTCAACGCATCCAACAATGGGGTCGCCTGGAGAAGAAGGGAATTCAGCTCTCGCGAGTAGTGGCAGCCAGGAATCTGGTGTTACGAACAAGATGTGATTGCACTATGAAAGTTGGAGTACAAGTAGGAAACCCTAACTTTGTGTACCCCCTAATGGCTTACCCACTATAGCCTACACAATAATAACACATATAGTGTTTGACACACCCCCATAGGCAAAGTGGGGGAGAACAAGGGGTCACAAGACCAGTCAAGAAAGGCAAGCAAGCTCAGGGTGGATCACAACGTCACCACACAATCCGAGCACAAGCAAAGGGCCACAAGGCCAGTTCACATACAGAAGTTTATATAACTAGTACAGACAGCAAGGGTGATCTCAACCTAGCAGAGCAAACAAGCAGGAGTATAAATAGGGATCACAGTACAGGCAAAGTCTACAACAAGTGAGACAAAGTGAGCACTAGCCCCAACAAAGTACAGAAGCGCTGATGATCACCAGGCTGAAGTGCCTTGGTGAAAACATCAGCAGTGTTGGCCTGAAGACCATGTAGCGCAGACAAAGCTGACCACGCTGCTGAAGCTCACGAGCAAGGAAGTAACGGAGAGCGATGTGCTTCGTTCTGTGCTCCAGTCTGTGCTCCTTACACAAGGCAATGGCAGCCTTGTTGTCGACGTACAGCACTCGAGGAGAACTAGGCCGCTCTCCAAGGTCGGTTAGCAGGTAGGTGAGCCAGCGTAACTCCTGTGCAGCCATGGCTGCGGCGTAGATCTCAGCCTCACAACTGGAGCTGAGAACCGAAGACGAACGAGTAGAGCGCCTCGAAACTAAGCCAAAGCCAAGGCTGAAGGTGTAACCCTGTGACGACCGCTGAGTAGCCTGGTCGTCAACCCAAGAAGCGTCTGAGTGCCCAGTAAGAACAACTGAGCTCCCTCCTCCAAGCACGAGCCCCATGCCTGATGTACTGCACAAGTAGCGCAATACCCTCTTTGCAGCATCCCAGTGCACCTTTCAGTGACGACCAAGAGCCACGTAGCGAGCTTGAAGGCCAAGAGGGTATGCTAGGTCAGGACGAGTGCAAGTCATCGGGTACATGAGGCAACCAACTAGCTCTGGGTAAGGACCACTCGACTCTACGGACTCATCCGAAGGCAGAGCTGAGAGCGAGTGACCTATAGCCAGAGGAGTGGTCTATGCTGAGGACCAGGTAAAGCCGAAGAACTGAAGGATCTGCTGCACCATGTGTGACTGAGTCAGGGTAATGGTGCGGCGTCCTCTGTCCCAGGTGATCTGCAAGCCAAGGTAGCTGCGCAGTTCACCTAGGTCTGTGCACGTGTGTCTCTTCTGCAGCTCCGACTTCACGTGGGCGTGAGACGCAGTGTCAGCTGTGGCAAAGACCAAGTCGTCGACGTACACGAGGATGTAGAACGGCGATAGTGAAGTGTCGGTGCGTAGAAACAGCGACGGGTCAGCAGTAGTAGGAGAGAACCCAAGTGCCGCAAGAGTAGTCCTCAGTGTGTCATGCCACTCACGTGGCGCCTGGCGGAGACCGTAGACCGGCCGGCGGAGGCTCCACTTGGTACCAGGAGGGACAGACCCAGTGAAGCCAAGAGGGCGGCGCAGCCAGATCTCCTCGTGCATACTGCCCTGCAAGAAAGTTGTGCTGAAGTCAAGAGAGTGAAGCTCGTAGTCACGCTCAGCATGGACGTGCAGCAGAACCCGAAGAGTGGTCATCTTCGGGGTCGGGGATGTGGAGATTAACTCTACAACGGTAGTGAGCTAGACTACAGGGGTTGGCACGAACTACTAGAGGTGATCTCAGCTTTGCTTGGTTCCCTAGAGCTTGCACATTCACGGAAGAATTTGGCAAGAGTTTCCACTAGCAAAGTTGGAATTCCAGAATGATACAAGAAGCAATGACAACAATGACTACATCAGGCACCTAGCAACCCTGCAGCTAGCCTGGTCGACCGCCAACGCAGCTCGGTCGACCGCCTGCCAGCATTGCGTAAAGGAGCCGCGCCAGCATTGCAGAAGGGCGACCTGCCAACAAAGCAGGCCGACGGCGTGCCCCCGTAGAACACGGCAGTGCGCGCGCTCGCAGGTGTGCGCAGACGATTGGCCCGACTTGCCTCGTTGGGCATCCGTCGGCTGTTGTCTGCGCCTGACGAGCCACATCGACTTCGGGATACCAGCCCGAAGTCGCCTGCGCCATCGCGATCTCGACGACGTTCGCGTGCCTCCGCAGAACTCGTCGAGCAGGTTACGCGGTCGACCTGGTCGGCCCCTGGTGCTCTGGTCGACTCCCAGGTGCCTCCCGTCGACCACTGGGTCCCTCTGGTCGACCACCGGGCGCTCCTGGTCGACCAGACCTCCCGTCAAGCTACCCCTTGGTCGACGGACCCTTTCCGTCGACCAGAACTGCTCTGTCGACCTCCCGGTTGAACTGCAGTTCGACGGGATGCTCCGTTGTCCTCCCGGTCGAGCTGCAATTTGACGGGACTCTCCGTTGACCTCCCGGTCGAACTGTAGGTCGACGGACTGCTTCGTCGACCTCCCGGACGGCTCACCCGTCGCCCACGCCAGTCAGGTGCAGCTGTCGAGCATCCTGGTCGACAGCAACACCACAGTGGTCCGCTGCAGCTCGACGTAACCTGTCGAGCAGCTATCCCACTGTGAGCAGTCG